TACCGAACAATATAATTTCCACCGTTACTAATGACCTTTTCACAGCACGATGGTAATTTGTGTGCAATGACTCGTTTTTGGAAGTTCCAGATGACAACGGAAAGAACTTTCCGATAGACCTGATATCTTAATTGTCCGTCTTTCAATCTTCGATTTTTATGATCTAAACGAACGAACATCTATTTTTCTGGGAACAATCGAACAAGTTACACAATAAACCTAGTATTAAGGTTTACTCGAGTTTTCTGCTTTCGTGCAAATGACTGCGCTAAAACTGCAATTCAAATGAGTATGGGTATAAAAAATATATGATAGAACTATGTTATTGATACTTGGCTACAGACTTTGGAATGACGCAGGATTAAGTGACCCGTATTCTTCTAAATAAACGTTCAATGACGTAGGACTATGTCACAGACATCGTTCTAAAAAAATTAGATACGGCGTGGGACACCGTTACCAGTTTCGAATGTGTTCAAAATGTACACGTAATGACGATGTATGTGCGGCACGAATACAACGAAACAGATGGTGAATGAACAAACGAAGATGAAAGGAAAAATTGATTTTCTCGAAATGTCGATTGGTTGGCTTGTGTCGTTTTGGAATTCATGGCTACAATTACCTTTAGATATATATTTTATTGAAAAATCAAAAGAAACAAAGAATAATTACATGTTTATGTGGAAAAAGAAATAATTCATCGTTGAGAGGATTGGTATGATTTCAAGCTTCAAGATAACTCGTGTATACTCATTAAACGCAATCAACCGATTAACATCCGGTCTTTTTGTCTTGCAAAGTGATTCTCAAAGTAAAGTCTTCTTGATTCACCAACCACGAAACAAAATAACAGAGAATGTCCGTTATTTCGCTTTGCCTTTAGCCGAAGTATGTCGAGGCAACGCGAGCGAGGCAACAGAGAGGCGTTTTGGACTTTCTGCTCGGCCGATTCAAAACGTGCGGCAACTGCAGTGAGTAACATCATGTCGCGAACGTGAATTGCGCGGATCCATCTGTGCGTTTCGAAGTCAGTTTCAATTTTGGAAGAATCTTCCGTTTAATCGTTGCCGATGCACGATTTCCCAGTGTGCGGACGGCCAAATCGATCCGGCGAGGCACGGCTGCTGGGCGGAGAATACACGGCAGCTCACGAGTTTCCGTGGCTGGCGAACGTTCACGTGAGGTCGCAACGATCCTTCAGCGGGGTCCTGATCAACGATCGTTACATTTTAACCGCGGCCAGCGAATTGGTCAGGTTCGTAGCAATATCGAAAACTAAACGATAACATTTCGGAAAGCGTTTTCGACGTTCAATCCTGTTCTATAAGATTAGAGCTACCGAGCAGTCAGATCGGCATTTTAAAATTCTTCTATAGGAACTCGACGAGTGCATCCATTGAGATTTCGATTGATTTGTGATTCAGTTTGCGTATTATCAAATTCAATTTCTTTCGTGATTTCTATGATTTTGTCTTTTTAGTCGTTGCAAATGAAGAATTTAGGAATGAGTTAATTTGTCCCATTTAGTAGTTCTAGCGTTAACTTTGGATACGCGATTGACGAAGCTTATTATTCGAAAGCGACTGAAGCGTTATCATCGATACCGAGGAATCGTTGTTGCGATGTTACTATAATCAACGCGCATTTTAATAGCGTAACTGCGGCGGAAGTAAAAGTATCCCTCGGAGAATTCGACAGATGCAGTTTGGACGTGTCTTCAGCAGTGATCAGCGTGGAGTCTGTGCTCCTTTATCCAGAGTACAATCCGGGTTCTCGTGCACACGATTTAGCGTTGATAAAGCTGAGTCAACCGATCAAGTTCGAAAGGAGGATATCGCCTATCTGTCTGCCGAACCCAGGTACCGTTGAACTTCATTCAGATTGTTGACAATTTTTGTGAGAAAGCAGTGGCAATTTAAATCTCTAACTCTTATTTAGCTGAACACTTGGCATTCGAATAATTAGATGCAATATTTACTACTAGTCTCAGTAACGCGAATACCTTGATAGTCATTGTTTCAATAAGTTCAGATGAAAACAGTTCAGGAAATAGAGTTTTCGAATCTAATGTTCAATCTCAGATCTACCTGTTTGTCTATTTCATCAAACTGATCATTTGAAAGATAGTTTCAAATGATTTAGAGTGTGCCCGCTAGAAATGGTCTACCACAGGTTTTCACAGGGATAAAGTAAAGCAGAAATAGAAGTTAGGGAAAGTAATGTATGGAAAACGATCAATCACAGTTTCATTTGAAATTCAATTTGAACTTCGAGGCTCGACTTACCTCGGACAAGTGGGAACCCTGGTCGGATGGACGGTAAGCAAAACAGAAGACAAAAACAGTAATCAAACTTGCCGGCCACGGAAATTGGGTCTTCCGATTTTGGGTTACAACGAATGCATTAAGTCTGGAATAAATCCTGTAAATTTCCATAAAGATTCCGGCTGTGCTGGTGTTTTAGGTGGAAATTCAATCGTATGCGAGGTATAGTAACTAATTTAATAATTATTAACACATACAGACACGCCCGTGCGTATTTACTTACGTTACTATCAGTTTTCCTTAAAACCATACCGTCTGCAACAGAATATTTATGAAATTATGTGTACTTCCGATTTATATAGATTCTAAATATATTTTTTCAGAACGACGTAGGTTTCTCTGTACAATATCGTTCATACGCAGGAATTTATGATCTCCTCGGTATGTATATCGTTGTACTTATTGTTCAATAATCGATCTTCATGGAAGAATGCATAAAATGTTTTTCCATTTCGTTCACTTGAAACAAAACTTCATGGAATATTCGCTTATAAGGAAATTTATATTCGGAAACAGGCATAATTTCGGACGTAAACGAATGCGGCAACACACCTGCAGTTTCAATTTATACGAGAGTCAGTCCACATCTAAATTGGATATTGCAGCAAACCAAAGATGCTTGTTACTGTCCCAAATAACACGAATCGGATTTGTACGTTGGAGGTTTATTTATTTGTAAATATATTATGACAGAATTATGAATTTCAATTATAACGTTTACAGAAGTACATAATAAACAAACTACTAATAAATGTTTCTCAGAGCTGCAAAATTTCATTATTCGAATTAAGCACCTACTCCCGAATATTCCTTTCTCCAATTCTTAACCCTTTCGCTACGGCGGCGCACTCATGAGTGTGCTGTCGCGGTACGGGGTAGTACCAACACGGAGATATTTATTTTACGGCGGCCTAACTAACTTTACGAACGTAACTTTAATAGCTGGTAATGTATTGTAGTTCATTTATTCCTTATTCTAGTTGTGATACATATAATGATAAAATATAATATAACGATGTATAATCAATGCTTCTGTAATAGTTCATTCTTATCTTGTTCAGAATATACGTTCTGATAAATTAACCTTTTACTTTAATTTACTTTAATTTATTATAAATATAAAGGGCAAGTCTCGTATGAGTGTAGAGTGTTTTCATACCCCGTTTACTTATTTCTCTACTTAAGGAAACATTATAAAATAAAAAATTATTTTGCAACCTTTCAGTAATCACATTCATATTATTTATGTATTATTGAACATTATATTTGCATTAAAATTATTTTACATTATATGATATATATTATACGTTAAAATTAAAACTATTATTGAAAATAATATTTTTAATTGCAAATTACCTTAATTCACATTTTATAATTTCTTTCTTTTTTGCCTGAACAAGGCTGAACAATCTGTACTTATGCATTACAGTTGTTTGTAAGAAAAATTGCAGTCATTTTGTTGTATGAAATTTATTAAATATTTGATACCGAAACTCACAATATTTTTTTATGACACAACCGTATATAAGTGGACGGCATTTCATCTGATAAATTAATTCGGTACAATTTTCAACAAACTCATTATATGTAAATGACAAAAATTTTGATATTAACGCACACGTACAAATACATATGTCCATTGTGCAAGGAAATTATCAGTTAAATCTAGAATAACGCATAAATAAGTGTATTACTTAATTTTAACACCGATGTTAACATTTGATCGTGAAGTATATACGGAAATGAACATTGTTACTTATAATTATTATTATAATATGCACTTCACTTAAGAAAGTCTATGATAACGGAGAGTCAATAGAATAAGTATAGTGACGTGAAAATCATATTTCAAAAGGTGTTAATAATTACATAGTAACTCGAAAGAGAATAAAAACAGTTACTTTTGTAACCGACATCTCGATGTAAAGCGTTTAACATTTATATATGTTTTAAATACCACAAACGTACACATCAAAATTATTTTTATGTGATCTCATAATGAGAACTTAAGGAACAACCGTAATATATTACATATTTGGTAAAAATGGTTACATAAAGCTAAGCAATGCATGAGCAAACGTTTTATTTATTAATATTACTTGCCTCTAACATTATATTTATTTACACCATTCATGTTTTTTTTGGCATCTTGCAAAATGAGGCTCATCTTTCTATACATCGTATAAGGAATAACGGTATTAATAAAACAAGTATGTAGTAACATGAACTTTTACATATTTTGGGTAATAGTTTTGATCTCATGATATCATGATGTAAAAATTATGTGCAATCATAGAGAAACTATATTTAATTGATTTTTACAACAGAGATCTTTATTTTTAGTAAAGAAAGATTACCGTCATTTTAAAGAAAAGTTTATCAACAATACGACAGATTATAATAAACTGTTAAACATATATGTAATTGATAATGAGATTAAATATATGGAAATGGTAGCGAAATATTAGACTATTGTAAATTGTAATCGAATCTTATTATATTATTCACCAATAATGAATTCTAAAATGGTAAAGATCGATAGAACATAAACGAACAATTAATTTGTTAAAAATAAACTTATATAATGATGGAAGTATGCTTAAATACAAAATACGTTGCACATAAAGTGCTATTATACAATGATTTTGTATCAAATACATTACATGCATTAATATATGACATGGGTAACATTTGCGTTGCATTGTGACGTAACTGCTTCCTCTAATGTACAATCTAGTTTACGATAATTGGCCGTGCTAGGACGCCGCCTGCCACGGCTGTTTCGTGATCTCCGTCCTTCTAATACTATAGCCAATATCTAAAATGTTAAAATATGAAATTATTACCAATGTATATAAAAAGTTTCAATTATTTACAGAATATTCAATTACCTTTTGTTTATTGTAATAGCCAATATATGCAACTATGGAGATCAAAGAAACTATAGTAAAATAAGTAAAAAAGTGTGATTCCTCGTCCGTTCTCAAACTATGATAATGAGAAATAATGTCCTTTTGATCAGACGGTTTAGGTATATTTTGAGTTTGATCACCTGTTAGAAAAAAAATACGTTGAAGGCAGTGTAACAATATTAAAAAAACTACTAAAATAAAGAAGCTTTAATATATGCCCCATTAATCATATAGATCCCATTAATCAAATTAGTAGAAACATAATTGTTTGTCTGCAAAATTAATACTACTTATTTTAACTTAATATCATTGTTATACATGCAAATAATCATCAACTTTAGGAAGAGACATTTTTAAAATGTGCATATAATGAAAGTTTACCTTGATCAATATGCTGGTCAGGCTCAATTAAATCATTTTGATCTAAAAACATAGTAATTAACAAATATATTACGAAATATAATAGCAAATTGATAATACTGTATTATTATAATATCATTATATATACAAATATAGAATTCTCAAATTTTGAACTGTATAGATAAAGGAACATACAACAAAAGTTTACCTGTATCAATATGTTAATCAAGCCTATTTGGGTTATTTGTGTTTAAAACTATAATAATTCAAATGTACTGTAAGCTAGGCAGAAAATCGAAAGATTTTAAATATGTATAAATTATTACCTTCTAATAATTTTTCATCATTAGAGTGATTCCATTCTTCTCGATTAAGAGAATTATACTGATCTTGGTTAACCTGTGGCATTAAATTTGTTTTGATGTCATCGTTAATATCTTTTGCAGTTTCTGAAGCTTGATCATCTGTATCAATCCCATTAGAATTCTGTTGTTTCTTGAGTCCAGTTTGTGGTTCATTATTACCATCCTGTGGCATTACATTCGTTTTGGTGTCATCGTTAATGTCTTTTGCAGTTTCGGAAGCTTGATCATCTGTATCAATCCCATTAGAATTCTGTTGTTTCTTGAGTCCAGTTTGTGGTTCATTATTAGTATCCTGTGGCATTACATTTGTTTTGGTGTTATCGTTAATGTCTTTTACAGTTTCTGGAGCTTGATCATCTATATCAACCGCATTAGAATTCTGTTGTTTCTTAAGTCCAGTCTGCAGTTCATTATGAGTACCCTGTGGCTCTTCATGTTCATCGTCATTCTGATTCTTTGGTTCTTTTGAATTTATCATGTTTTTATTATATTTATTCTGTGCATGTTCCTCATGTTGGTCTATTTCATTAATCTTTTCCTGATTCATTCCATTATCATTTCCAATATGTATATTGTTATGTTTCCTATCACCTATCGGATTTGGTTTTAATAATTTTGGTAGTGAGTTTATTGAGTCTATTAGCACTTTCTGTTTACTGTCAGATGCATCAATGGTTCTATCATTATTAGTTACCATTGTTTCAATTTTATTAATACCATCTGAGTGACCTGGAATTTCTAGTTCTGGATGTGATGGCATTTGTCCCTTTTTTGTATCATTTTTTACTAGTTCTCCAGTTTTTAATTCTGACTGAAGATCAACACTTTGCTCATTACTATTACCATCAATGGTTTTACTCCAAGCTAACATCCCACAAAGTGGATTGAATTTTGCCTTCATATCGAAACATAAAGAATAACACATGGGAAAAATATTTATATGTTGTAAAACAGACAACAACGGTTTCAATTTATTATATGAAAACGTTATACCCTTAATATTCTTACAAAATGTAGTGCCATCAAGATCTCCCTCCTTGGGAAAGAACTGATGCATATATAAGTCAAAAGTACCTGAATCGGTAGAATTTTTGTGAAAAAAGTCACACAATGAACTAGATTTATTGACTTTGTACCATGTGTCATAGAAAGCAAGACACAAAAGTGTATTTCTATATTTAGGTTCAGCTGACACATTCAATACTGGATATGTTTCCTTAGCACAAGTACTTGTAACAGTGTTATTGTATAAAAATATTGGAATTTTGCATAATTTATTATCATTTTTCATAACATCTAAAATTGAATCACTTGACACTTTCGCAGAGTAAAGGAGAAAAATAAGAGTGGCCAGCCCGTAAAATAAACAAGCTATGCATTTTCCCATTATGTATTCTGTTTATTACACCAATTTCTCCTTGAAAAAAGCGGTAGACTATCAAAGTATTAGTTTTATCGTCCTTTATATGTCATGCTTCGTTTTATTGGATATTAATTATAGATTTTCTCAGGGATTATACTTATTTGTCTTCTCTAATTTTTCGTATTCTTCTTATTAAAAATGCGATGTCAAAAACTCTATTCAACGTTTATGTGATTGTAACGGCCATAACCTCTCAAAATTGAACTTGTCCCGATGCAAATCTATTCATACACTTATCACAGAATTTGACAGATACGCCATCTTTTTTGTTCGTTGAATACACTTATAACATAACCTTACAAATTACTGTTTTAAATATTTAAGCTTAAGAATTGTATATATTCTAACAATAACAAATCTATTAAACTATTACTAATTAAAACAATATTAACATCAATAATGTAAAATTATTTTAATTAAGTAAATAAGAAAATTTTTAAGATAAACAGTCACATGAAAAACAAGTATACGATAAATATTATTAGTCTACTCAAAATACAGATTGGACATAGATAAGACCATTTTTTTCTAAATAAACATATATAGCATTATTAAAAGGTCTGATATATAACCATGAAGTACTATTGGCATAAATAAATTCCTTTCCTTTCCTAATGTCTTTCACACCAAAGGAAAATCAGAAATCATACTTAATTATTCTATATTACAAAGGTTAGGTAATAAGGAAGATCATGAATTCAATAAGTTAATATAATAGATAAATTAATAATTAAAGAACTCTCTAAAATGATTTAATTGCATTTTCACTTATTTTCAAAACAAAATATATACCAAAGATAGTTAGAAACTTCTTTCTAGTATCTTGATCTAGAGTTGTTGCGAACTAGCCCTTAAATCTTCTTGACGCACGTGTATTTCTCACATGTGTAACCTACATTTATTTTTCATTCAAATAGAAGTACTTAAAATAAAACTTTACTGGCTAAACAGAAAGAAATCATTTATTATTGATTTTTTATAAACTGTGATAAATTGTGATTTATTTGTATGAATACTTATTGTATGTTTCAGATAATAGCCATTAAAACTAAAAACATTAAAATTTGTAGATAATGATAAATACTGATAGATAATAATATTATATATTTAAATTTATGTTTCACCTCTCATACCAAAAATAAATACAGTATTGTAATTTAATTTGAACTGTTTGTCTTCCATGAGGTATGTGTATTTTTTTCATAAAACCGAAAATAATATTTATAAATCGAAAGTTTCCATAATAATTAATTAAAAGATCTAAACAATTGCATATATATTCCACTTATTACAACATATTGCTTCCATATGCAACAGTATTGATAAAATTACATTTATTAAAAAGTATCATGGAACATAACTTGAAATTTTGATTTATATTGTATTATAATTAATGTTACATGTTTAATATTTGTTTTGTGTAGTCAAAATGGTCTCCCAAATATTTGATGATTCCCCTAAAGAAATGCAGTTAATAAATTCAGATAATGATTCACAAAGTCAAAAGCAAATGGATAATATTGAAAAAATACAAATGAAAAAACAACTTGGTCTATTAGAAGGTGTTGCAATTATTGTAGGAATTATATGTGGTTCAGGTAAAAAATTCTTACAACATTTAATTTTGATGTTCGATAAACAAATATATTAAACATTAATGTGAAAAGCACAATGACTCTATAACATGATTTACATGTGCTCAATAACTTTGTGTTATATGTACTAAAATAAAATTATTATACCTGTTTAGGTATTTTCATTTCTCCAAAAGGTGTAATTATAGAAGTTGGAAGTGTCGGACTATCTTTAATTATTTGGGTTTTATGTGGGTTACTTTCTATGATTGGAGCATTATGTTATGCTGAATTAGGGACTTGTATACCACGTAGTGGTGGTGATTATGTTTATATCTGTGAATCTTTTGGTGCTTTACCTTCTTTTTTGTATTTATGGGCAGCTAATTTAATTGTTGTGTAAGTTGTATTTCTATTGAAAATAGAAAATATTAATATTATTTATTAAAATAAATATTATTTATTCACAGTCCAACTACAAATGCTATTATGGGATTAACTTTTGCACAATATGTTTTGCAACCATTTTTTCCAAATTGTGCTATTCCAGAAAATAGTGTACGATTAATAGCAGCTATCACCATCTGTAAGATATTTTTATTATGTGTAAAATATTGTTAAATCTTTAATAATTTCTTGTGAATTAAAAAATGATATTTTACTGCAACCATTTTTCTCAAGTAGTTCATATAAGTGGTTATTTGTTCTGTATAATTTAATTTTTTTAATAGGTTTACTCACATTCGCAAATTGTCATGATGTTAAAGAAACATCTAAAATGCAGAATGTATTCATGTTCACTAAAATTGGAGCCTTAACAATTATAATAATTGCCGGATTGGCCTGGGTGTTATTAGGTAAGTACAACTTTTGTAGGTGGAAATAACAGTAATAATCATATAAATGGTAGGATCATATAATTACCAATCATTCTCTTTTTTTAAAAATCTGATGTCTTTCTAATCTATAAAAAGCAACATACATTTGTAGGTCATACAGAAAATTTTGAAAATGCCTTTGAAAATACTGTAACTGACCCCGGTAAAATTGCAGTAGCATTTTATTCTGGTATATTTTCATATTCTGGATGGAATTATTTAAACTTTATGACAGAAGAATTAAAAGATCCTTACGTGTATGTAATATAATTTTGTTATATCGTGTTACTTTTTGTATTTTCACATTCTGAACAAATAATTAATTTTGCAGAAATTTGCCACGAGCTATCTATATATCATTACCTTTAGTTACTTGTATATATGTGTTTGCAAATGTCGCATATTTATCAGTGTTAACACCAACTGCTATGATTGCTTCTCATGCAATAGCTGTGGTAAATATATTGTTTTAACTTTCATTTGTATATCTTTAAAAAAAAAAGTAATGAAATATGTTCTCATTAGACTTTTGGAGATCATCTACTTGGTGTGATGGCTTGGACAATTCCAGTAATGGTAGCTATATCTGCATTTGGAGGATTAAGTGTTCATATTATGACATCGTCTCGATTATGTTTCGTTGGTGCTAGGAATGGACATTTTCCTTCAATGTTAGGTCACATTAATGTTTCAAGATTTACACCTACGCCTGCTTTAGTATTCCTTGTAAGTATAAAAAATGGATATCTAATGATATGGCATGCATTTTTTAATGGATACCTCGAATTTATATACCCTTATTTACAGTGCATTTTATCTTTAATAATGCTATGTACAAGTGATATCTTTGTATTAATCACGTACTGTAGCATAGTTGAATCATTTTTCATTATGCTCTCAGTAGCTGGTGTTCTGTGGCTTCGTTACAAAGATCCTAATATGAATAGACCAATTAAGGTATACTATTTAGTAAATAATAGTATATGCAAATATTTTTTAATGAATGTATTTTATAGATGCCTCTATGGATTCCTATCTCATTCGTGGCTATATGCGCATTTTTAGTGATTGTTCCTTGTTATGAAAGGCCATATGAAGTCGGTATAGGTACTCTAATAACTTTATCTGGTATTCCAGCTTATTTTTTCGGTGTCCAATGGAAAAATAAGCCGATATGGTTTCAAAAAATTTATTGTACGTAATGTAATGAGAAAACTAAATTTAGTCTTGTAAATTATGCACAATTTAATAATTGTATACATTTTCTGTTTTCAGTTAAAATAACTTATACTGTACAGAAGTTATTTATGTCTGCTACTGAGGATAGAGACATCTGATTTTAGATATAAATTTAGACACAACTCAAACTTTATACAATTTTGATCTGCTTTCATTATTCTGATGTTACCTATACATATTTATGAAAGTAACCCGTGCGTTACTAATAATTACCACATGACTGTGTTCTTCATATATAGAGTTTGTACATGTATTATAAAACGTATTATTGTCTAGCGTAGAAAAATTATTTATCATTATCTATTTATTATTTATTTCGAGCAAACATAATTGCCTTGTGTTTAATCATAGGCAGTGGGATTATGTTAGTATTAAAAGAATCTTGCATAATTGTTTTTATAACAAATTCGTATAACATTTGTGAAAATCTATTCTTATAAGTATTAATGTGTTTTCTACTCTTTACAATCTACTATATCAAATATTAAATAATAAATGTTAACTGCAGAAACTAAATGTTGTTGTATGATTTTGTTGAAGTTATTAAAGACACGATAACTATATGTAATTATAACACGAACGTATTTAAAGGTATTTAATAATCATGTCTATAAGTAGCATATTGAAATATTCATCATAACTACTACAACGTCATTAATGTACATTTTATTTGTATATTTTGAATTAGATATAACGCAGTCTTTAAATTATCGAATTCTATGTTGTATGTTGATATTTAATCGCAGTTACTTTAACAAATGATTTACTTTCAATAAAATGTATTATATTTTCAATAATCCGTTGTATCGTTCAGTATGATTATTTATATTTATTGTGTGCTTAGATATTTAAAATAACATTGTAACTTGTGACATTTGTAACATACATATTTATTTATGCAAGCAAATATTGTGTATGTTATAATATAATAGCAGGTTTCTTAACATTTGTATAGTAATGTCATTTACTTGTACTCGTTAATACTTATGCATAAACATTATCCAGAACATATTAATTAGGAAGCTACTGAAGTGTCAAATAAATACTGGAATGTTGAACATACGTCTATTCTTTATGTGCAAACTATAACAACACAGTAATATTACATACAGGGATTAACAAATACCATACAGGTCATAAATTTTTATGTTTCTTATATGACTCAACATTTTATGTACATAGATTAATGTATATCTTCTGGATTAAACATTCCCTGTAAAGTAAAATTAATAAATCTAATTAATCAATCTTTAAAAATGCACATATAATTTAACAGTCAACAATCACTCTGTTACCATTAATTATCAAGCATTTTATACAATAAATATTTTATTATATCAGTATTTTATTATTTATTAACGTTGCACAGCATGAAAAAAAGATGAAAATGAACAATTTCATTTTCATAACCAAAATAAACAGAGCACATAGATAAACTTTTATATTTATTCATAAAAAAAACTTTTTATTCAAAATATGCAATAAAAATTATCTAGGCTTAAGATGTATAAAGTATAAACTAGTACAGAGACGATTCTAAATATTATTTAACATTATTTAGTTATAATATTATTTTCTTACCTTAGCACGTCTTAAGATGGAGTCTTTACTAGCATCATATGGGTGGTCTTTACTGGGAATTTCTAAGACCGATGGTATTGGTTGGGTATGACTATCGATTACATGACGAATCATTTCTGCGATCTTAAAAGCATAATAAGACTTTTTATTGTTTAAAATTAACTTTGAATAAAATATGTTAGTTTATATAAACAAATTTATAATTTTTATATTCTTTATTAATTATATAATTATTATGAAATTATTAGTTATATTTTTCTCACTAAATGGAAATCTAAACATGAAATTTTTTGAAGCATTAAATTATAATCTAAATGTGAAAATATTTTTTTTAATACATGAATTTATTTAACACTTACATTTTGATTGATAAGGATGATATCAATATCATCTCGCTTAATAAAACGTTTAAATGTATCTTCTATATCACTTATTGCTGTATCTGGAAATAATATATATAATTTAGTTTGTAAAGTAGAACAATAAACACTATGTTAAACTATAAAAAATAAGAAATTATTGAATTATGATTGATTCACTTCAGTTATAACAAACATTTAACATACTGGTATCAAAAATAAAAAGATGTTTTCAAATAAATACATACTTTTATCTACAACCATAAAATTTGGTTGACGATGTTTATTAATCTCGCCAACTCCACCCAGGAGAAAACCCACACATGTATCCTAAGATGAAAGCTCTTTAAATTGTTAAATAAAGCATGAAGTTTCAGTTTTATTTACCTCGTCTCCAATGACTGCAAGAAGTTTACCCTTCCCTGCGGAATGGAGTGCCATTGTTACAGCCAAAATAAGAATAATACAGAAAATTTAGGGAAACAAACGTATTTAATGCAACGATTTTTGATAGTACATCAGCTGACAAGTCACACCTTTATACTTGAGCTGCTTGACATCACGTGCCAAACTTGTCCAATCAAAAAAGGTAGAGGGGATAATGATCGAATTTAGAAACAACAATTATTGAAATATACGGACATCTTATAATTGCTTACAGTTGGATATTAACAGTACTATAATTTATCTCTTTTTAATATTATTAATCGAAAAATGATGCAACGATATAATATCCAATAGTAGACATAAACAACCATTTTCAATACGGACAATCTGCAATCAAGCCTTCAAGTATTGAGGCTACCTCCCATTTATCGAGTTGCATATCTATTTATATTTCTATTTTTAGCTATTCATCTGCTATTTAGTTACGAAAACATAACATTGTAATTCGTTGATAAGAAAATTCACCTAAAATCTATGACAACTTCAAGATGAACTTTCTAAATGCGTAACGTGCGTAACGCGTAATGCCTCTGAGGTTATGTTTTTAAGTACATGTGTATAGAGCATAAATTCTGTGTGTATCTAATATTAATTATGTATGTATAGTAAATTGGGAAACGGAAGCTTGTGTTATACTTGATAGTTTATGTATGTATTGCTCTATATTTTTGTATGCGGAGACACAAGATTCAGCAATTTATAAAAAAAAAATTCTGAAAAATAGGATATATGTTCTACCGTTACCATTTTTAATTATATTATTTGGGTTATAATGTTATGGAACTTTAAGGTTGTTCAAAGGTGTTGTGTATTTTTCTTAGTCGATATAAGTATGAACATTCATGATACATATAAATTTCCGTTATACATGAGAAAGAAACTATATTTAATTAAATGTTGTTGCAAATAATGTTGCTGTTTTATAAATTTATAATGTAACGACGGGTCTAACCATTAACAAGTATTCGTCAATATTTTTTCACCACATTTTAATAAATGAAATAACCTCAGTAATATTTCATTTATTAAGTTAATATATTCTGAATATATATGTTGTTGATTCTATGTTTTAGGAATTTTGTTTTTTTTAACACGTACGTTCAAAGGTGTGATATCAGTGAAGAGAAAGTGTAGTACAAAAATATGTCATTTATGAATAATGTTAATAACTACAATAAAATGGTTTCCGAAGAAATCATACAAACAGCATGTACGATGGATGAAAGTTCAACCGAATTTATGGTTTTACCTAAATTTGAAAACATGGAAGAATCCTTGGTAACAAAATATTAAATACTATAATGTATATATATTTAAACAAATTTGTTAAATATTTTATGTACAGAATTATATAATTCTATCTATTTTCCATAAAGTATATCAATTGTAAATAATTTATGCAGGTTGTCGGTGAAGAAATAGTGGTAGATGAAAATATGGATATAAACCAACAAATTTCTGAAGAAGATATCTGCAAATCTAAAGAAACATCTGAATATTTTGAAGAAAGTATAGATACAACAATGCCTGTTGAATATGTCGAAGATTCTGTATCGTTATCTACAAGGAACATTGATAAACAGAAATGGCTCTCAAATGATACCAATAACGATGACTTATTGGTAAATAGTGACTAATTTTTAAAATTTCATTTAAGAAGATTATATAGCGTTAACATAAAATGAATTTTATACGCGTAGAATATTTAAATATTTTTTGTTTTATTATACCAATATATTTTGTTTTATACAAGTTACTAAATATAAAAATGAAACATTTTATCTTTTAATATATTGCATTTTTATATAATTCTATAGTTACCAGAGCCAGAAGAAAGTGAGTCAGAAATTGGTTGTAATAAATTAACAAGTGATGATCAATATGAAGATGAGGAAACAATAGCAACATTCGTGACTGCTACTGGCCAACAACTGGCATTATACGCAGTAGAAGATTCAGAAGAAATTTTTGCTGTAGCAATGTACGACGAATCTGGTGTACCTCCAACAAGTTTTCAGTTTCTTATGAAGTATGTACTTTCATTTAGGACCATTGATTTTAAATGATTTACAAAAAACAATTATTTAGTTATTTATGGATCAAGAGTTATTATTTTCATTAACCATTAGACACTTTTCCATAGATGTATGAAAAAGTACTTTTAAATAATAAAATAATTATATTTGCAGGGCTGATGTTGAAAGATTAATAGGTGAAGGTGCTGTTAGAACTGTAAGAAAACCAACACAAATAAAAAAACAATTATTAACAACACAGCCACCAATATTCTTTCCCAAAAATGTTTCTACAAATGACATTTTGATACATAATGAAAATAAAATTATATCATCTGGAAATCAAAAAATACAAAAGAAAGATAATTTATGGGAAGAAAATTCAGAAACATTGACAGAAGATTCTAATTTAGATCTACATTTGAAACAAGTTCCTAACATTATATACGCAGCTGATGATAAACAGTCAGATTTAACATACTTAATGATGGATAATTGTTCTGTAAACATTGGTATGTACTTAAAATATTATAACATTGTATACTTTGTGCTATTATATTTTGAAATTTGTGAAAATTTCAGATAACTCTGAAGATTATCAAGAAGAGGAGGAAAGTGATAGTGAGTTTATAGAACAGTCAACTGTACAGTATATTCTCTTTGAAGGTGATCAATCTGATTCTGAATTGACCTTCGACGAGATCCAAACTACTCTTCGAAATCTTAAAGCTTCCGAATCAAAATCATCAAGAAAGCAATTGAGTAAAAAATCTGACGAAGATCAAAACAACTTTGTAAATATTAAAGAAACCGAATACGATCACTCACAGTTGAATCACAATTCTAATTGCAATCACATTTCTAATACTTTGACGGAAAGAAAGCTAAATTTAATAGATCAGAATGAATCACTGGAGCCATTTATAAATTCGACAATGGATGAAATGTCGAGTAACACAAATTTAGATCTCTCAAATGGTTCTATAGAATGCGTATCACCGGAATCAACACAAATACAATACAAAACTAAAAGATCTCGTAAACAACAATTAATTTCTGTGAATCGTGAAGATTCAGAAATAATTATACAACCGGCGTCTCTTTTAAGCGAAGAAGATAATAATGTTAAGAAAAGAGGGAAGCGAAGAAGGTATCGTCAAAGGAGCAACGAAGCAAAGAGAATGAAAAGGATTAAACGTAAGGAAGTTGAAATCATTGAAATCGACGTTGACGAAGAAGAAAATATGCTTCAGTCAAAGAGGGATGTTGTTGAAATAACCATAGACGATAGTAAAGATAAATATTCTAGCGATAAAGAAAATGAAATTATTATGGTAGGAGATTCTGATGATGAATCGTCACAGTCAAATTCAAAAAAGATTTTGCCGCAGTGCCAATACTGTGCAAGAAACTTCCGGCAACAAAGAGCTTTAGAAACTCATTTACGAGTTTGCTCAAAATCACCATCAAACGCGATTCGATTTAGCGAACAGAAAATCAAACATACGAGTCGAACGAACGAAGACACGGTGAAAAAACAGTACGCTTGTAAAATATGTCAACAGAAATTCGATGTGGTGGTTGTATTAGCGCGTCATGTACGTTCTGAACATTCTCATAGGAAAAAACGTAGATTTAGTAAATCCTCGATCGAACGACCATCCATAGAGGTCGAGGAGAAAAAAGAACCTATTGAATCTAAGAAGCAGTTAACTATGATTAAAAAGATGAAAAGAAAAAGAAGTCAACGACCAAACATTACCTGGGAAGTAAAAAAGTTGAGTTGCTCTGATTGCGGTAGATGGTTCCCAAGCGCTGCCTTATTGAGAGCACATTGTTTACAGCATGGTACAAAAAAAACTGGTAAATTTGTATTCAACTCGTTTGTTTACAATTTCTTATTGCTATGTATGTATTTACTAGTATTATATACATATAACATTTTATTTGTCTTTTAACCTTACAGAACATAAGATACACAAGTGTCACATATGCCAGAAGCTAATAAGGTCCAGATTGCTCTTTGTACAACATTTAAAAAAGCATCGACGTATGCAAAAGAATACAAAGACTATAGCAAATATTCAAAAGAAATTGCACACTACAAGATCAGTGACAAGTAAGATTACAACATTGAGAAAACGGGGACGACCGCGAAAACTTTGATTGCTTTGAGGATTAATGCATAGAAATTTAAAAAAAAATGGTGATACGTGACAAAAATTGTTACTATATAATTTCTTCTAATGTGAAATATGTATAATATAAAGTTCATACTTCCAATAAAAATTGGAAATATTTATATGTTTGTTGGAAAAGAGATATCTTTCACTTTAAAGCACATTAGATGTTTAGTCCAATGTATATATTATTTACATACATTATGTATGTAATAAATCATTTAATTTTACAATGTCATATACATTCGTAGTTTAATATTAATATAAAGGCTGACTTCTCCTAATTAACGTTTGTATTTAATCATGGTATTATTTATGAAATAATAAAGTACTGAAACTTAAAACTTTAATTGAAATTGAGGAGAAGTTTGGAGAATTAGATCAAGAATGCA